TGGCCTAAAATGCGATTGATGATTGGTCAATCATTTTACAATAGTTTACCTAATCAGATTAATTATGCGTATTGTAAACAGGAAATTATTTCATTCGTTATTCTTGACTGCGGTAATACGAACATTTAGATTATGTATAATATTAGTGTAGACTTGTGTACGAAATTACTATGAAGTGAAAGTGTTCCGCACATTTCGATTGCGAATTGATATTATTAGAGTTGCTTAATATGTACTCACGTTACACGATCCCTTGTTAGGCGAGCGATTTCTATATGCGGACATCTGTTTTACTTAACATTAACTAGGAAGAGACCGTTTCCATAAAGAACGTGATAGAAAGCTTGGATAATGTGTTAAATTTTCTCGGTCATCCACCCGCAGGTTTTAATTGCGATGCAAGTACTGTATCAACAGTACGCTCTTTACGAGAACAAGTGCTAACACACCACGTCAATAATAAGAAACAGTCAATGCTAGACGGTTTTGTTACCAGAATGTAGTTCGTAATATCATTGAATATCAAACAAGATAGATAATATCTTGTATAACGATATTTTTTTGTAACTATTATGTTATCGATGAAAATGTGACCTAACGGAAGTATCGTTATATCCAGTTTTGACTGTAGTTTATCAGTTATGCACATACCTAAACTTTGTTTTCCAAATTCGAAGGTGCTAACGACAAATCATTGATATAAATAAATGTATTTTATTACTAGAGAACCAAATGGTTCATCGCATCTAATTTTTCTTGTCTCAAACTTTCATCCGCCCCAAAGCTCTGAAATGTTCTCCTCCAGGCGTCTGCTTTACCTTGCTTATACAGTGGTAATTATTGAAATAGGTGTAAGAGTTTAAAGTGTTAGAGATATAGATCACTATAAAGCGACAAGTAAGCTATAGTCATTCGGCTTGTACTCACGCTTTTACGGGACAACCCATTTGGAACGAGAATAGGATAAATTGTCTTGTTATGTGAATAAATAAAAATGATTGGTTCAGTGTAAATACCTTTACCAATGTTTTATGATTCCGATGAGAAATTACCTAAACTATTTGTTATTGTTGTCAAAGCGTTGTTTTATCTCAAGAAACTCGTTAGATTCCGGGAACAGCTCTCTAGTGAGTTTTACACTAAAATTCTTTGTTGTAAGATACAATACTCGAGCCATTGGTGGAACTAAAGTGATTTTTGTATAAAACAGTTGAAATTTCCACAATTTTCTAGTTAGGACTGGTCACTATAAGTTTCTCTTTACGTCAATATCAACGAGAGTTTTAAGACAGGCTGTGGGATTTACAAAGAATGCATTTCATATTCACACATGCCGAAAAGAACACTTTCTGCAGTCACACCCCCTTTACAGTCACCAGATTCCCTTCTAAACTGTTTTCTGCGTCCATTCCTAGTCTCGAATAGATTTGGGGATGCGAAAGAAAGCGATGCATAACGAAAAAAATTTTTTCACAAAGAAAATGCATATACCACCTCGCAACAATCAGAAGGTCGTACGATTAAATGAAATTCCAACAGTCCCGAGACATCCCTTTTCATAATAAGGTTAAACCGAAATCGATTGATGTTGACATGGATATTAATATTTTGTAATAATAGTCAAACTCAAGCACATGTTAAAAAGGTTTCGTGTAACTATATTCGAATCTGCGTTACGCAATCGAACTTGCCATATTAATATACAGATATGATCGAGAACTTTTTGCAGGTCATTAAATTATAGTTATGGATTACGATTGTTGTGTTCATAATCGGATATTTCTTTTTAGGGTAGTATAAACCCGACAAATAGACAATTGGGGTAAAGTCTGTGTAATTATGATATATCAGATATCATGTTTTATTATTATGTTTTTGTCCTATGTGTAAAATGAGCAAGAGGTTAATCTGCATGTGAACCCCACCATTGTTATCCCAAAAATAAGGTTTTTGGACCGTATATACATATAAATAACATGCGTACTTTTTCGCCCGTCTCTTTGCGTTCTGCTACCATTCTTCTTTAACAGAGGTTCTTGTTTTCATCATGGATTATTTCAGCGTTATTAGGTAGGAAGGATCGTAATAGGTTTTGAGTCTTCGCCTTGAACATTACATAATGTACATCGTTTGCATCCAGAACGATTCTTATAGTTCTTGCTGCTCTCGGGATAGTAAGTTCTCATTTTTCAACAAACCGCCGGCAACTTTTCGGAAGCTCACATTTTCCCTGCTGACATCACAGATCGTCAATGTTGCCTTCCCTTATTTCGGTTCCTTTTATATCGGCACAGTAAATTCCATTTCTTGCGTTTTTATGAGCGCTATTATGTCACTCATGTTCGTTGGCTTGATTACTGATGATGCCATGCTTCAAGGTTGGCAACAGTTCTACTAATCTTTATTCTGTTTCATTTGGAGATAACACATACAGTCTATTCTGTAGCAATCCTCCCGGCTATCGGATGGTTATTGCTCACTGCAACATTCTGGCTTGACCATCCCGATTACGACGTGATCGAGGGAGAGATCAGGAGACTCTGTGAGAAAATTATTGGTGGACATGGGACAGAACTAGATATAATAGAGTGTACCTATATTATACTTCAACGCAGGTTCTTGGCAGTTATTACATTGATTTGTATTCAAATGGTGGAGGTTTGTAAAAAAAAATAATCTCGTCATTGTTGATGCGTATGTTGGTTTGACAACCTTATCTCCTCCGTGCAGGTATTTTTCTTTTTCGCAGTTTCTAGATACGTGAAACACCAATCAGAACCCCTCTTTCGTAATAACCGCCAAGCAACTCCATCTTACGGTACAATTTCGGACATAGAAGATCCGGGTACTCATGACTAATCGTAACTGAGAAATGTTGCAAATTGAGAATAAAAAATTAGCTTTTTATAAAAACGTCGAAATGAGCGGTGGATTTGATAAATTATTTACCCGATACTGTGTACCCTTCCCTCGATGCGATGCCAATAAAGCAGGGTCATGACTTTGCGAGGTTCGGCAATCGAACTGAAAAGATCGCTTTCCTTCCCGATGGTTAAGTTTTATCGACTTTTGGGGCATCCGTAATACTGTCCTTTCTCTGGCGACGGGAGATCTGTTGAGTGGTCTCCGAAGTTCAGTACTCCATCAATAGTTAAAACATCATCATCTATTAGCACCAGCATCTTAGCTGTCTTGGTACATTTGCAACTTCTAATATTCCCTCTGTTGTCTGCTTTATTTACCCACTCTTTGAGTCAAAGCCGCTCCAGTTTCTGGATTATGATTATGATCATTCAAGGACAATGGGCACGCAGTCATCATTGACGTGCTAGGCAGAATAGAAGGCCGATCGATACTAATGACAATGAGACTTGCGACGTATTCCGTAGGATAATAACATATATTCTCTTCGGCAATAATTCATAATGGCAAAAAGGAGCGAGTGTCATTTAGACTAGACCAATTGAAACTAAGCAACTCTTGTCAATAAATGTAAATGCTGTAGTATATCAAACAAATCTAGCGTTCTGATGTTTTAATAAACAAATGACTTTATTACGGTCGCAAACGTTTAAGTCTAATTTATTATTGGTTGATGGTACGACAGAGTGAACTAACGGAATTATGTGACTTATGGCATGCTGTACAACAATTGTTCGAGAATTTATTCTTATTGTATATACATAGGTTTGATACATGATTATAATACCGATGCAGGGCATGACGTCAATAGCCAAGGTAAAGTATTCCCGTACGAAACTGCATATTTGTTTACACTTCGAGAAACGAAAGTGGAAACAAGCGATTACAGATAAACACACATTATTACGACTAAGTAACTACGTTTCTTTCAGTGAACAGACGTCCATTAATCAGCAAAATCTTAGTGAAGACTTGTGTTGGCGAATATGAAGTAAATGATACTTTCAGTAAGATAGCAAAGTCTTAAGAGATTAGTATCAGCGACAGCAATAGCTTCTCCTTTCTCCTCTTTGGCACGTTAAGAAACGATCATTGGTA